TTTGCAATATGTATAGTTCGGAGTATAGGATAGACGGAAGGAATTGAGAATATTCTTGGAAGCGATCCTCCTTTACGCGATCAGAGTGTTCGAAATCATTGACGTCTGCGAAACCGGAAGATGGCGATCGAGCGAAGGATTCGCGACGAGACAGGTAGCGTGCGACTCGTTTGGATTCCATGCGTTTCTCTCCGGGATCTAGGACGCGTCTTCGTTACCAGACAATATCTACATTTGGGATTTCACGCGAGCGTAGCGTCCGAAAGAGGTGGCGGGCAACGGGCGATGCCTCTGCCGCTGCCGACTCTCCAGGAGTTCTCACGCTACGCCTTGCATCTCGCCGACTTTTTTCTTCTCGCTGGTACACGGGAATCGAGCCAACTCTAACCAACGGAGAACACGAACCTTCGGAGGCGAAGGAGGCTCCTATTATGCGTAACCGATCCGCGGCCGCACGAGACCCGCTCGAGTTTCTGCCTCTTCTTTTCTTCCCTCCTTTCTCGTTCGAACTCTAATCGACGCGTGTAACGTGCTCCATTAACGAGATATCGTCAAGGTCCTTCGTCATCCTTCATTAACAATCTTAACTGTCGATCGTAAATGGAAAGCAGGATAATCGACTCTGATAAACTTATTGCTATTCGAGTATAATATTATAATGACGCTTCTAGCTCTTTTAACGTAAACAGCGCAAAACAATTTTCAGTTAAGTCCTTCGTGTGCTCAAAAATATCTTGAATCTTATTTAATTTGCCGACTTCGATTAACTTTAATTGGAGTGATACCGAAAATACTAATTTGCATTTAGACACCAAGGAAGTAATCTAACCACGTGATAAAACAATCCTGAGATAACATTTGTCCCGATCGCGAGAAAGGGAGGGTGAGACGATTCCAGTTAAGAGGTTAATCCCTCCGTTTACGTCGAAAATAATCGAGATTCAGCCGAGGATCTAAGTTTCCGCTGAACGCGGGAGGATTGGGAATTTCGCCGAAGGATAAAAAATTATGAAAATCCTCGACTGCACCTGCCTCGAGTTTTCCGCGGCTGGTCGAGGGGTGGCCTCGGCGAACAGATTAAGCTTTAGCCAAGAGATTTATGGGCGAACGTGTAACGAGCAACTTTTTCATACGATGCGAGCGCCAGGGTTAGCCCGCGGGGGTGGGATTAGCATAAGATCCAGCAGCTGCAGACCTCGCGCGACGCGAAACCTACTGCTTCTCCACCGTTATCCTGGAAGGAACCTGCTTTTCTGATCGTACCTACCATGTTCTACCGCAGTAACCAAAACCTACTCTGCCCTTTTCGCTTAAACACACCTAACTGCCACGCAACAGTTTTGAGGCTTTCACAATTACGGTTATAACGTTTTACGCTATTATGTTTGCTATTGCTACATTCAACGGTACCACACCGTTCAGGACTTCCGGGCGTAATCCATGCTCGCTACAAAAATATTCCCATCGTTTCGCCAATATTTCAGCCGATATTCGGTATCGGTGCGCCCTACGAATTCGGGTGAAACGACTAGCTATAATGTCGGTGGAATATTCGGTAATATTTTGCTGGTCGACACGGTTGGTACTCGGAAGCTACGGTTTACCATTTTTCGTCTTCCAATACGATTGGTACTTTGCGAGCAAATTCCGAATATTCTACGTGCTTCGTAGGAACCGGCTAATTCTCGAAACATTCGGTGCGTCCGTACGTTCCTTGCGTCTCGAGAATATCAGGAAAAGCGGTAACGAGAAGAAATCGGGGAAAATCTTGGTCGATTTTCCTCGGGTAGAAATATTTACAAGCTGTCGTGACCGAGTGTTCGCGCGATAGATCAACCCGAGCAGTGGCAGGATAAAAAATCTGAGGAATCAAGGTAAGAGAAGAAAGTAGAGATACGGAGAAACGTTAGAATCCCAGGTTCGGCTGCGCCGGAGGGAAGAAAGGGGGGACAGAGCTAATTGAATACTGCGGGCAGGATTGATGCCCTCTGTCAGTAGCCGTGTACAGAGGCATCGGCGTAATAGACGTATTACCCGGGCTTTTACGGGCAATTATGCTAAGGCCGAAAGCTGCTACCTGGCCTCGCTGCTAGCCGTCACGTCTAGATAAATGCAGCCGGCAGTTGCGTAAGCCTAGGCGCAGCCCGATAGGTAGCAGCGCGATGATGATGCTATGCTGCACCGCGACCTGCAATCGGCACGAAACTCCCTGTTCCTCGGATGATTGCCGACTCGATCCGTGTCCCGCCTCGAAACTTTCCCCGCGGTTCGCTGCTGTAATCATAAAGATCCGTGAACGACGCGGATCACGGCGTAACGCGCGCTCGCAACTGCTCCGTAGATACGCGAAACTATTGCCTTCGATACTCGATACTCGCGTACTACACCTGACATTTTCGACGCTGTGTAGCGCCATAATGTGAAAAAATACAATTTTCGCTAGTGGTTTATTACCCGGGTTTTTCGCGCGATGTCTCGTTTCCCTTAAAGTCGATCTGAGGGGCACGCGTTACTTCGCCACGCATCGCAAAACTAATTCGGTTATACACGGTATAGTCGGTCGATGTCGTTGCAAATATTGAAAATACGTATTAATATGCCTGTAGAGTCGTAGATGCCTGGAAGCCCTGGCGACGCGCGACGGCTCCACGAAGCATCGTGCAGCAGTGGCGGCGACGGTGGTGGCGGTGGCGGCAGCGGCGACCGATGGTAGTGGCGGGGCAAGAGCGAGACACTTGGAACGGGGCGAATAAAGTAGAATAGACCGGAATAGAGAGTACAAGGTGTATGCCTAGAAGGTACAGAGAGAAAATGGTAGCCAATGGCGTTGGCTCAGCATCGTTGCTACAGTATTGAACGTCTCCTACGTGGGCTCCAGAGATCTCTCTCGCTTTCTCTCCCGGTTGCTTCTCTTTGCACCCCCTCCCAGTCTCTCTCTACTCTCGACCACCGTTTTCCTCTTGGTCTCTCGTCCTCCGTCGCCTCCTCTCTCCCGACATGCTCTCCCGGCCGTCACTCGCACACGATCCGTTTCTCTCTTTTCTCCGTGCCGCCAGTTTTCCGTCTCCGTCCTTCCCTCCGACGCGACGGCTTCTCGTGACCCGACGTCCTCCCTCCATCCAGGTTCTAGGGTGGAGACCCACCCTGCATCCTCCTCCTTGTCCGTATTCCTCTTCGTCGTCTCGCGTCCGACAGGGTGCTGGTGGGAGGACTCCGGTAACCTCTCTCCATTGCGGAGGATCCCGAGAGTCCAGCACAGAGATCCCAGCTGCCACGAGGTGACCGCCTCTCTATCCTCTCGTTAATATACAGAGACACGACCTCCGGAGGTCCGGGCCGGTCTGCCACCGCCGTACTCCTCATTGGCTAACGCTTGCCACATTTCGACGGACCTCTTTCAGACGATCGGACTACTCCAATGGATTTACACGATCCGATGGAGTTCGTGAAACGATTTTCATACGATCTGAAAGGCGATCTTCGTCGTTTTAGACCGCTTTCGAATGACATTCGGAGCTTGGTTGGTATCGTATCGTGAAAATAAGATGAAAGAAAAAGGATTGATTTCGTACAGAAACTATTAGCGAAGTTACCGAGGCTAGCTGGTAAGCTTGTGCCTTGGTTGTGTACGCTGTCTTCTTACCGTTAAGCAGAGTAATATCGGTATACGTTGTAATTCCCATCGGTGGTACATTTTACGAAACTTGTGTTTCTGGACGAAATCAATAGTTCTTGACTGCCTCTTTACTCTATACATATTATAAAAATCAAGTTTGTATCTACTTCGTAAATGTCCAATTACGCTAACTTTTATAATTTTGAAGATTGAGCGAGACACTTGGAACGGGGCGAATAAAGTAGAATAGACCGGAATAGAGAGTACAAGGTGTATGCCTAGAAGGTACAGAGAGAAAATGGTAGCCAATGGCGTTGGCTCAGCATCGTTGCTACAGTATTGAACGTCTCCTACGTGGGCTCCAGAGATCTCTCTCGCTTTCTCTCCCGGTTGCTTCTCTTTGCACCCCCTCCCAGTCTCTCTCTACTCTCGACCACCGTTTTCCTCTTGGTCTCTCGTCCTCCGTCGCCTCCTCTCTCCCGACATGCTCTCCCGGCCGTCACTCGCACACGATCCGTTTCTCTCTTTTCTCCGTGCCGCCAGTTTTCCGTCTCCGTCCTTCCCTCCGACGCGACGGCTTCTCGTGACCCGACGTCCTCCCTCCATCCAGGTTCTAGGGTGGAGACCCACCCTGCATCCTCCTCCTTGTCCGTATTCCTCTTCGTCGTCTCGCGTCCGACAGGGTGCTGGTGGGAGGACTCCGGTAACCTCTCTCCATTGCGGAGGATCCCGAGAGTCCAGCACAGAGATCCCAGCTGCCACGAGGTGACCGCCTCTCTATCCTCTCGTTAATATACAGAGACACGACCTCCGGAGGTCCGGGCCGGTCTGCCACCGCCGTACTCCTCATTGGCTAACGCTTGCCACATTTCGACGGACCTCTTTCAGACGATCGGACTACTCCAATGGATTTACACGATCCGATGGAGTTCGTGAAACGATTTTCATACGATCTGAAAGGCGATCTTCGTCGTTTTAGACCGCTTTCGAATGACATTCGGAGCTTGGTTGGTATCGTATCGTGAAAATAAGATGAAAGAAAAAGGATTGATTTCGTACAGAAACTATTAGCGAAGTTACCGAGGCTAGCTGGTAAGCTTGTGCCTTGGTTGTGTACGCTGTCTTCTTACCGTTAAGCAGAGTAATATCGGTATACGTTGTAATTCCCATCGGTGGTACATTTTACGAAACTTGTGTTTCTGGACGAAATCAATAGTTCTTGACTGCCTCTTTACTCTATACATATTATAAAAATCAAGTTTGTATCTACTTCGTAAATGTCCAATTACGCTAACTTTTATAATTTTGAAGATTGCAGTTTGTGCCACGTATATAACGTAATGCAATACAACAAGGATTTATTTAACATAATATAAAGTACCACTGAATTTTTAAAGCTGCTTTTTTTAAATATAATAAAAATAGATATACAATATTTGTGTAGTATACAACGCGTGAATATGCTACGCGTATAGATACAATGTGCGGATACACAATTCCTTCGTCTCATTGTTTTCTCTATGGATGCCTAGCATGCTTGGAAGCGTCAAAAACCAATAGTAGGATTTTTGAAATGATACTCTCGTTGCTTGTGAAATATCAAATACAGTTTCAAAGAACCATTTGTATTATGTTGATTGTAGGTAAGTTTTGACCCTGCATATTCAATCGATACAGTTTATTATGTAATTTTTATTATAAAAGTAATTATAACTAAGTATACACATTATCGTAATTTCTCTGTTGATCATAGAAAAGGAAGCACTTGTCACAAATAATTATGGCCCACGATCAAACTTTTATAAAATTTATCATTTTCTATTTTACATATCGCTCATATTAAATCCATGCTCCTTTTAACAAGACAATAAAGATCGCATCGTTCCTGAATACAATGGACATCTCAGACGATATATACATGTATTGACGTAATGTCAATATTTCAGGAGGTTCTCAATATTTATTGACATTACTGAAATATTAACAATTCGTATATCTGGATCGCAGAACCAAAGAGTATTAAGTCCGTTTAATTAATGACACTTCACGCGTATTCCCTCTGAAATTGTTCACTCTTCCGATTGGTAAAAATCCAAATATGTTTATCGTGAAATTTATAAAATACTGACGATATAAAATATTAGTCGCCTGAGGTTCTCGTAAGAGAAAACTAATCACATAAATAAATGAACGATTGCGGAAGACTCGTACTTTCGATAAAAATGAAATACATTTATAATGAGTCTTCTAGAACACCGTTAAAAAATGTCTGATTTTTAAGGGTGATCTATCAAAATCGATGATTTTAATTAAATAATTACAAAATATCGTATGCATCATATGCAATTTCAATTACCTATGTCAATTTCAACATTACGTTTCTTTATAGTTTTAATAATACAATTTTGATTGAATCAACTGTTCTTAGATTATTCGTTTTAATTAAGTGTTCGTTCGATACATCGAACGATACAGTACATTATCTAAGGCACGGGATGAAAATAGCATATTATTAAAAAACAATATTTATGTTTCTGAAGAATAGGATTTAATCTAACTATAATATGTATAAATAGTGGCACTTGGAAGTTGAATAACTTTGTGGAACGATTGTATACTTTTACGAAATCTGTAATATCGCTATAAAAATAATGGAACGGAGTATGCATATTTTCCAATTGTAATCGCTGCTAGACAGTTTATGTTTAAAAACCGAGAAATTCTCGAAGTTTTCAAACGATATTCCTTCAATTAATTGAATTAGCTGAAGAAACTGTGGCGAGTCCTATAGTGTATCCGTAATCTAACAATATCGTATGAATACTATAAAAATAGAAAATAATTCAGAGCTTTATACACATGCGCATCAGTATGTTTAAATAGTATGATCCCCGGTATGAAAATATTATCAAGTCATAAAAATAATTGATCATCTTGTTTCCTCAAGCCTAGCATCATTCTTTCGAGCAGCTTGTACGAGCTTCTTCGTAGTTTTAATTTTACCCGGAAGACTTATCAATATCCATTAGAGTATTTACAGTTTCTCTTTCACAATTATCAGAAATAGTTTCTGACAAAGCATTAGATTTTAATACTATATCTTTATTTTTATCTGTATTTTTAGGCGACTTTTCTTCACTTTTCATTTTACTTTCACATTCCATAGAAATATCACCAAGTTTATTGTCCTCCCCCTTTTTTTCATCGAAGTCGGTTTTCTTTTTGTTTTGATTATCAGCGTTATTGTCTTCGCAAAGATCTATGATTTGTATATCATCCTTAACGGCATCCATCTTCTCTAATTTCACACTTAAGGTCTTCAACAAGTTTTCCTTCGACGCCTTCGAAAACTGTTCACCTCTACTGACAGAGATTAAGGTCGCTCTCTTTGGAGCTTTTCCTCCAACAGGTTTAGCCGGCAGAGAAGGAGAGGATGTCCTATTCTTTGCAATACTTTGAGTAGGACTAACAATTAATTGTTTCTTCATTTCTTCTTGGCTGATCTTCTTCGTGAACTGAGTGATCAGAGACACGTTTTTCTTCTCCTTCTCTTTGTCCTCTTTCTCCACCTTCTCCGTAACCTCGTTAAAAATCGATCTGCGTTTCGGAGTCGTAACATATGACCATTGGTTCGGTAAAGGGAGATTCTCTTTGAAGTATTCCTTCCTAACCTCTTCAGAAACGTACCAACAGGACTTCAGATGCATAGGTCCTTCCTCGGGACACGACATCCATTTGCCGATTTCGCAGATCTTTTTCATGAGACTAGCTTTAGATACTTGACACTCGCCATTTTCCTTGTTCAAGAAAGCAAGGAACTCTTTCACGAGGAACCTTCTACCGTGTACGTTTCCGTGAACTAATCGAATCAGGTTGGGCAGGAACTCTTCCGGGACTCGAGTCTTCTTCGAACTCAACGATGCCTGTGGTTGAGTGGGTGTACCACACTCGGTGACGTTCATTATTTCACCCTCGGATGTTGTTGGTAGTATCACCGGTATCTGACGAACCCAGGCTTCGTGACCTGTCAGGAATTCCATGCTTTTTTGTGGCACTATAAACAAAAGAATAGGATATGTGCATCAGAAGGATTCCTGTCATCTAACATTACTTCAATACTAATAAAAAAACTATAAAATCGAGTCAATGAATTAAATACTCACCATTTGGTGCAAACTCATTGTTAGATCCTCTCCAAATGCAACCGATAATTTTTGGCTTTAATTTTGATGTCTTTGTGTTTCTTTCGGTTTCGAACTGCTGTCCTAGAACTTTCAACTTGAACTTTTGCGTTTCAGGATTCTGCAAGAAAGAAAAGTGCGTTAAATGATGGATACAACATAGATTTTCAGACAAATATTTTATGCGTGCAGAAATGCCTACCGTATCTTCTTTGTCTTCTTCATCGGCTCTGATTTCTTCGTCCGACAAGTATCTAAATTAAGAGAAGAAGAAAATTATGCATTTTAATGAGAATAACAAATGCATAAACACTGTATTTTAACTTACCCATGAGGTACCATAAATTCGTTATCAACATCGTATTCATTGTCGTCAGGATTCTCTTCATCTTTTTCCTCGTCTGAACCATGCAGAGACTCGCCTGGTTCTTCTTCTTCCCACTCTTCGTCCGAATCCACGTCGTAATTGAACCATTGCTTGAAAAAAATTAAAAAAAGTATCCCAATAACATTTTATTTTGAAATACGGGTAGCTTCAAATTTGAAATTCTAGACATAATTCTAGACGTAGACGCAATCCGAAATTTAAATTAATCCAAAACTTAGACCGAATTCTAAAGCTAGGCGTATCCCTAAATCTAGTTTCGTAGAATTTTGATGAAAGTGCCATTATAACGTTCTGGTGTGAACCAGGATCGTCCGGTGAGAAGCGTACCGATCGAAGGATTGAAATCGAATCGAGAAGCAACTCATTTCGATTCGTTATCGTCCGTTTTCCATAGCGTTTATTTTAGTTACGACCACGGCCACTGGATTTCACTGGAGTCTGCCGTGATTAAGCAGGACGTCGGTATCAATGCGACTTCCTTGACGAGCGATATCTCGCCAGCCGTACCAGCTCTAACGCACGTGCTGCTCCTCTTCGATTCTCTTTAGTCTCCGAGCGATATTCGCGAACGAATCGGTGCTCTCAAAATGTAGATACTCTACGCATTTACGTCAGCCTCAACCATAAAACTCTTTCTCTTGAAAAATCTACCAACTTGAGAAGGAAGAAAAAGTGTAAAGGGAACGCGTGATGGTCTTCGATTCGATTAGATGGTGATCAAAAGTTCGAAATCGTTTGAAATTTTCATTTTCAACGACGGATTAAGGATACGTGTCAAAGGTGAAAATAATGCATTAATCGTCGACTAAAGAGACTGAAAATAATCGTGACGTTTTTCGCGTAAAAAATTACCAAATTTGATTTGATGGTGAGTCAATGTTCTAGCGAAAAATTGCGACCAAAGCGAAGGCAACTTGGTAGCTTATATTAGTAGCTATTTTTGACCTGTCTATTTAACGCGATACCGCGGCCAATTCAAATATTACGAAGAGGATCTAACGATTTCTCTCACTCGCTTGCAAAAAGCATCTCCGAACGCTTGATTCGCGTCAATCAATTTCGAAACGACAAAACAGACCCGTCTCGTTGCGTGTAATAAAACGGTCCCGTGAATCGTGCACACGACGCCGAAAAAGTCAATAAATCGTCAGGTTTTCTCTTTGTGCCGAACGCCGAACGATACCTTCCCTCGATATATCAACGTCGATTTCATCCCCGAGCGGACATCAATTACAAGACTATCTCGAGACGTTCATTTATTATTGAAAAGGAAACGTAATATCGTGGATGATCGGTGACTCGAAGGTGTTCGGAGAGTAACGCGGAAAACTAGCTTATTCGTAAAAACGATTCGAAACACCGAATGCAGCTTTCGGCAGACTAGAAAAGGTGAGTAACTATTTCATATATTTTTTCAGTCGTCTAGATCTGTTCGATTCTTTCGTTACACTTATCTCATTATATACTATTTCAATGATTTCTTAGTACCAATCGACTCTATCTCCTTTACGGTACTTGGAATTTTCATCACAGGTAGATTATATGATTCGTTCGATATACATATACTTATAACAAACACAATCAATAGCACAAAGGTCTCGTAAGAAGATCACCGAAACACCGTTAACACAGTTCGTGTCAACGTTGACAGAGTACTTGATTCTTTTTCCGGCCGTGGTTGCTCCGTTTCGACGATCGGTATCGTGTCAAGTACGTTTTAAGGGGCGATAAAACGTATCTCGAAAAATTATGATCAGCTACCTCCATACAAATTTCATCTTCACGGCTCTATGACAGACCACTCGACTTTTTAAACGATCGGTGCGAAAACATTCGAATTGGAACAGATGCGGTAATTTACGGATTACTTCGGAAACTGATTTCTCGTTACTTTTTCGTACACGACTCATGGTCTGTATCGAGTGACTTAATAGAAAAACTTCTCAATCACCGAGTTTCCCCTCTAACAACTCTCTTTGCAACTTGATAAGGAAAAAAACAGAAAATATCGGAGAAATTGAAATTATAATCAAGAAGTGCCGTGGCAGTTCACAAACCCGAAGATACCGGCCTCGATTCCACGGTCAGCTTATCATTGTCGATAAAGAGCCAATTGGAAACAGAATGGCAATAGTCAAACTCGTACACACCGAATCTTTAATAAAATAAATCTCGAATTGAACCGGTTCTTCGTTAAAGGTTGATAGAAAAACGAATCGTCCGTTTGGAGGGTTGCATGAACCTGCTAAGAGCCAGAGGGTAACATAGAAACGGTGTCTGGTTGATGCGGTCTACACGCATTATTTACAGCACGTTGTCACCCGCCGGGCCATCTGTAATGGCTGTTTTATGCCCCATTAAGATTATGCCCGGTGCTCCTCGTCGTTGCACACCGGAGATTAAATCTCGGCGTGTCGAATTGATTTATTTCCGAATGTTCAGCCTCTGTCGAGGGTCTAGGACGCTCTCTATCGCTCTCTCTCGGTGTTTTATCGAAAACCAACGAAAATTCTTGTGCTGCACCGACCTGCTTGGATTCCTGTCACTTGTGATGCTGAACGACCATCTAACAAGGTGGTAATGAAACGCGTGGCAATGCAACGCGTAAATAACTCGACTGGCAAAACAGCCCGAGAGAAAAAATAAAATTTCATTTCAGAAGACACAGCTGTAACGTATAGGATATTCTTGAATTACCCTAATTTTGCAACTTCAAATATTTCTGTTTATTCGTCGAAAGAGGGGAACTTTAGTCGTTTTAATCGGCCGATAAAGAAAATAAGAGAGATTAAATACGATGAATTTACATACGTAGCTCTATTGATATACACTTTTGGTGTTAATGGTTTCGAGCGATAACGGCGATATCATGATTAATGGCATGTAACAACCACAATTATGAATCGATTACGCGATAGCTTACTACAAATGTCGTAATAAAGTAAAAGGTATGTAAACAACTTTTCTTTTTTTTCTGTAGGAAATATTGAGTAACGTATGGTTCAATAACAACTTCAACTTTTCATTTTTGAACTTCAATCGTTGTTAAATGAAACAGTGAACTTTATTCCCGATCGTACAAAACAACGCCATGATAGCAGAATCGAGAAGATTAAACAAGTTCTAAGAAACCCCGATGGTAACTACGGATGTGTTCTAGTAGACCAAAGTAATGAATCGAATACAACGACTGTTACAAATTAAGATGCTTCTAAAGGCAGGGTTTGAAATCGGAGTCAAAAAAAAAAATTAAAATCGAATATCTGAAATTCGTACCGATAATCCAATATACATGCGGTTTCAATAAACTCGGTTTAAACTAACACCTCGATGATTTAAAACGCGAAATCTCGCAGAAGAAAAAGGAAAAAAAGAAGAACGAGAGTGGTTGGCGCGATACGAGGGCTCGTTGTGATCGCAACGAGCAAATTGAATCGCGAACATTTTTTTCCTTTGTACTTATCGGTGTGCAAAGTGACGCAACAGGCCGCAATTAATAAATCTTGAAAGGGTAGATACGGTCATAATCTTCGCGGCAAAGGCTGATGAATTTCTGACATTTCAATCGACCGGCTACAAACGACGAGGCATTTCAAATGCGTCATTAGATAAACGTTTTGTTATCTGTCGCAACACACGTATTTCACGGAAAATCTATCATACGAAAGATAGAAAAGAAAAATGAATAATTAACTGATTGATTTTTGCTAAATAATTAAACGTACTACCTTCATCTTTTAAGAATATAAAACTATAATAATAATAGTAATAATTAGTAAATCAAAGAATCGCCGAAATAGAATGTGAGAATCTGTAGAGGGTCGAATGCGAGGGTAAACCCGAAAGAGTAAAAGGGGCGCTGTGACGATTTCAAGAGGAAATCGGCTTAATAGCAGCCATGGCGCTAATGGATCTAATTACGCGTTCGCGCGTTATGAAAAACAGACGACCACTGGTCGACATCGATCTGTCGATGTATCGGATTCATCGCGAGATAATTATATCTTTTACGCAAACGATCGGTTACGTTTTTGGGAATGAACGAGGAAATCCCTGCACGAGTCAGGCATATGGATATTTAATATCTTACTTTCAAGATAACCATTGATGACACAGTGGTGTCAATAAGTCAAGGACACATATGAAAACTTAACAATTCTTCAATTTTCATATTTTCTATTATCCTGAAATTTCATTAACTCCCAATGTTGATATTTCCAAATGTCTCCATCTCCCCATCCCTAGATCCTCGAATGTCTACTTAGTAAAAACCGCAGATTTTCAAATCTCAAGACCCCCAAATTCAACCTAGACCCTTAAATCCAAGGTAACGATCGAAAGAAAAGCACAAATGCAAGACATAAATCATTCGAACAAAAGACATTGAGCTTCACGAACACAAGGTCAAGACATTGCATCGCGCTCTCTTAGCTGCAGCGTGTATTCCTGACTCCTTGAATTGAATGCAAAATATGTACACGGTATCTAAGGTCAGTCTTGCTCGACACGGATAAACGTACTACAAGCGATTCAGTCGCTAGTGCCACTGACTTCCAAGTATTTTATCGGTGTTGCTTCTTTTCCTTGCTCTAGGTCAAAGTCATCGTGCTATACCGATACGTGTAAAACGCTTCGAGTCAATACGAAGCTCAGAGGTGTCTCTTTTAACCCTTTGTCTGTCGGTGATTAATCAAACTAAATTGCCATTCGGTATTAGACATACAGTGTTAAAGTATTTCCTAAATTACTTAAAATAATCATTGTTTACAAGATATTGAGTCACGAGTGCATATAGGCAGGCGTAGATAGCGTTGAAATGATCGGCAAAGAACTACATCGATTTCTTATAGAAAAACAACGAGAACATAACGAAGAAAAAACATGAAGGAAGCGTGCTGTATAAGAGCTGGGCCGACACGCGAATTTGGTACAGGGGAAAAAAGCAAGAATTCATGGGTATCGGTCGTCGGGGGGCCACGTGCTCCAACGTTCGCCAAATGCGATCTGGACCCTCGAGGAAGGAGGATCCTCGTTATAATACTTACGATGGTACTTAGGACTTTCAGTTTCCGGGTATTAACCAGAACAAATTTCTTCACGAATTAACAACATTCGAAGGAATTGCTTAAAATACAGGTATTGCAAATAGCATCGCCAAAATGAGAAATCGAGATGATTTCGACAAAAGGGATGTAGCTCCGTTTTTCAGTTCCCACGACTGTCAAAAAGGATCTGAAACTATGAATCTCGTGGCAAGTACGCGACTGTCTTCGTCTCGCTAAAATCTCGCGATAGACAGATTATCTGCGAAAGGATTAGGTGATAATCGAGTTGTTAACCGTCCAATTAGCCAGGAAGCCGTTTTGCTGGCGCGTCTGCCGGTGTTCTGGGATCGGCCGCCTCGATCCCTGGGGAGATGCCCGGTGACGGCACCGGGTGGCACAGCCTCGATTATCTCGAGCCGTGTGCCTTGTCACACGAGACTGTCCGCGTCTTTTCTGGATCGAGATCATCCAGTCGCTGCAGTCTGCACGCGTTCCTCGATCGCGAAGCTACCGAGAGGGTTCGAGAGGGTGAATCCACGCGCTTTCTTTCCGAGGACCCTTCGTTACCTCTCGAGGAAATAACAACGAACAAATTAATTATCGCTAGCAACGAATCACTATTATCGCCTATATGATCAATTATTATTGTTGTTTTCGCCGATTATTTTTGACAAAGGAAAATTTATGTTTTGTTTTCGAAAAACGGATAAAAATTTATAAACTTGGTGGTAGTTTCTTTGGATTGATTCTTGTTACGATGTGCCGATTGAAAGAACTGTGAGACTCTTTGTGGTACTTTCGGGAAAAAGACGCCGATTTGCTTGTCGCGTGGTGTCGGAACCTTGCAACGCCGGCAATCGGAAGTGATAATGCGCGGAGGAAGTCAAGACAGTGACTAATGGCGGAGTAATTGCATATGTATCACAATTGAAATAAAAGGAGACAGACGAAAGAAAGTAATAAAAAAGGGATAATTGTAGTGTCCTGTTCGTTTTGCGAGAACTGAAATTTTCTATATTAAATCGCTGCAAAATGATTGAAGATGCTGCGATGTACGACGTGAGTAAAGACAATGCTGTTTCAGATTTTCATACCCGCACATTTTTCTATTAAATTATCTGATTCAATATTTGATTCGCGATGACACACCTTCTAGCACAGGTATTTTTGTGTCTAATTGTTAAATTAAAGTTCTTGCAGCATATTAATGGATGTTATATGAACTTTTCGAATTCTTCTAATACGATAAATGTGTTAAAAAATATGTATTCGTCTATTATTTAATAAAAAACTTAAAACAGCGATCGAAGAAAAAATCAGTTTCAAGTAACTTGTAACTTGATGAGATCGCAACGTGTGCCCCTTTTCTAATGAGCCCTTCAATTATCTCGATTACACAAACACAACCTTAACATACTTCAAAAACGGAACCCGCGAGTAAAAACAAAAGTAGTAAAAACTATCTCGTACCATTTTATATTTTCTTCTTTCTTTCGGTGTCGATAACTCAAAAATAGAATTGAATGTTAATCAACAGATATAGAGCGTTCGAGGCACATGATTTATTGTTTCGCATCGTCGCAACCAGAGATTAATCCAAGACGAACAACCTGGTGCTCCGTACAACAATAAACATTATTCTCTGTTATTCGCGATTCAACGATCTTCTTATTTTGCAACTTTTTCTTCTCGTCACAGATGACGGACGAGCTGTTGTTCTCTGCTTTGGGTTTGACGACGGACACTAGTGTCGAGAGGCAACTGTTCGCAAGCTCCAACACCCTTAGCTGCGACTACGAACCATCATCTTGCAGGACCAGCCCTGACAGTGACTATTCGGAGACTATCGATAATCGTTCGAATAATTTTCATAATTCTATACAGTGTTACACGGACTTGACTTGTCCAGCGAAAACCTCTTGGAGCGAATGGTCAGACAATACCTCTACGTCTTTGTCAGGTACGAGCACTTTTAAGTCACACTTTTAAGTAAAAAAAATTCAAAGTAGAATATTAGGTAGAAGAAATTTGTCGCTAAGATTTCTTGCGTAGGTTTTATAAAACGATCTCCGTTGTTCTCAGGCTGTTTAAGCGAACTGAGCGAATTGGACTCCGAACTGGAATGGTGTTTAGACAAAAGTTGGAATTCTGGTCTTCCAGAAAGGACACCGTTATGCACCGCAGGATGCGAAGGTTTCTTACACCTGCCATTACCAAATCCTCAACAAGCTTTTCAAAACGAAGAACCATTATGGGTGCTTGGCATCGATTTAAGAGCACTTGATGATACCATGGAAACGAGTGGAATTGGTAAGTTTCAAGCACTGTGAAAGATTTCGTGTAAATAGATATGATCGAGTACCTAGTTTTGACGAATCATTGAAAGAATTCTATCTGTTAAATGAACTCAAATGACACAGTACGTAATGCCTCTGTATACCAAACGTACGAACTTTCACTGAAATAAGGTACTCTACAATGATACCGATTGTCTTTTGCCTTATACAGATTACAATAACAACCAGGTAGAGGAGAACCTCATCTCGACAGCAGCTGCCGCAGCACTAGCAACTCATGATTATACTAATCGTAGTTTAGCGAATGCAGCAGAAGATAGATGCTTTCCCTGCACTTATCAAGGATGCGTAAAGGTACGTACAGAATAATCAGAAATAAAAAATACTACCTAAGGAAAATTTCAGTAGTTTTAACGTGGCAATGATACGTTTTAATCGAGAGCTTATTTCACCCAAAAGAATAATAATATTTTTCACTGTTGTTTATGGAAAGATGGGTGCTTTACAAAAATTAACAATGTTATCCCATATTTGTTTATGCAGGTGTACGCAAAAGCGTCCCACCTAAAAGCTCATCTTCGTCGACACACGGGCGAGAAACCATTCGCCTGCACGTGGTCCGGATGCGGTTGGCGTTTCAGTCGGTCAGACGAATTAGCGAGGCATCGACGTTCTCATTCGGGAATTAAACCGTATCCTTGCGAGATGTGTTCGAAGAGATTCGCGCGCAGTGACCACTTGGCCAAACATCGGAAAGTGCACAGAAAAAACGCGTATCCATTGTTCCACGCAGGTAGAGGTTTACGAGGCGGAAAAATGAACGTGGTACCAACGGAAATTTAGTCAATTGTTATGGAATAATGTGATTTTCGACCACAGCGTCTCGAACGAATTTTCTTTGCATTTCTCCATTCCTTCCTTTCTTAATGTACTTAATTGATACGTCACCGACAACCTCGATTCATCAATGACGAAACTAAAATCGTTCTTTCAATGGTTTTTTTGATGCTGGTGTAAAATGTAATGAAAATAAACGAACAATTGTTGCACGAGCTCGACAGAAGGAATTAAACAATGTTAAGATAAAGTAGCTTATCTTTAAGACAGTGATGACAAACTTTAAGTGAAAATAAACATGACGTTGAAAATATTTTGTTTTCTCCATTAATTATCCTATGCAATGTTAGAAGCGTGCTTTCTAAACGCGAGATCGATTAATTTATTAAATTCGCAAGGAATCTGAGAATCAAATAGAGCACTCTCGTCTCTAATTCTATATACACATTAAGTCTAGGACTTACCGTATCCTTTGAAAATGGTTTGCGAGGTTTAATATTGCCACTACGTTTTCTCCATGTACCCCAATATGGTGGTCGTTGATTTTCCGAGAATTGAAGCAATTTTGGTCGATGCTTTTCGATAACGATATTCTGATTCACAATATTAGAATTGCCTTCATTTTCGTCGTCTACAAGCAAACACTATACAATTAACTGTGATTACAATAGGAATTTGAGGAAAAACGTAACATTTACCTAATATTACGATATCGTCTTTTGCTTCAAGAGGCCAAGTCTTTGTTGATTTGCGTGGAATGATCTTCTTGTTTTTAATTTCACTAAGATACAAATTTAATATTTGCGTATTTCCTTTCTTACATTTTTCATCTAACAGTAACTTCTCGTCCTCCTTCAAGATTCTTCTAATGTGCGGAGCCATCTTCATATCCGCTTTCACTTCAAAAGGCATAAAATTTTTTATTTCTGTAGTGCTTTCTTCTTGGATAGACTTTTCTTGCTTCTTAGTAACAAAGAAACTAGTGAAATTCGCAGCTGCTTTTTCCTTCTTACGCTCAGCTTCTAGTTTTTCTTCTTCTTTTTTTCTTCTTTCCTCTTCCTTAGCTTCTTCCTTTCTTTTACGTTCCTCCTCTTTTGCTTGCTTTTCTTTCTGTTTTTGCCTGCAAATAAATCCATATAATATTCAATTTATACAATGGAGATTTAACAAATATTACAATGAACGACAAAAAGTATTCGTACTCCAATTCTTGCTGTTTTTTTTGCTCCTTCATTTTCTTTTCCAACAGTTTTTGCTCCTTCTCTGCTTTCACCTTCTCTTCCCTTTCTTTACGTTTCATTTCTTTCTCTTTGCGTCGATTGTTACGCTCTTCCTCTAGTTTCATTTCCTTCTCCTGAAAAATAAACAACCAAAATACATCTCATGTATACAGAACAACTACTTATATAACCAATTTCATTTACCTTTCTCCGTTTTTGCATTTCTTCCTTCTTCTTAGTACTTAATAATTTCTTTTCTTGTTGTGTAGGCGTTAATTTCTTCTTTCTTATTTTAGGAGTTTTTGGATTGTCAGAAGTTACACTTTGTTCTGTATTTTCATACGACTTTAACAGATCATCTCCATTGCCATCACTATTCGAAGATAAATTTATCCCATCAGAGTCAACATCACAGGATAAAGAATTATTTACTGTTCCAGACAATTCTTTTTCGTCATTATGCATCGATATAGATACATTTGCATCCATTTCTGCATCAAAACTTTCATCGATAAATGTATCCTTCTCCTCTGTTAGAGAACTATTTTCCTTTGAATCAGTCTTTTTTAAAAATTTTGTGAGCGAGATAGACTGTGATTTATCCTGTTTTTCTATTTTCTTCTTTCCAATCGAAGAATGTTTTGGAGTGATAGACTTATTTAAAACTTTATTAGATGTTGTATTTTCTTTCACATTTTCAATTTCTATATTTTCAGTAGTTTCTTTAATGTTATTATCCTTTTTTGGTGTATCATCCTCGGAATCACTTGATTTACCGTTTACATCCTTCTTTGAAACTGTCTTTGAAACTTTAACTGCTTTTGCACTTTTACATCCTACAGTGGGTGATGACAATTTCCTCTTCTTGGTTTGTATAACATTTGGTGATTGTGTTGGACTGCGTATTTGAAATGGCAATTGTGCTGTAACAATGTCTCAAATTATATACACATCCTCTAATTATTTTTTTACTAGCAATTATTGTGACAATCGAATAAAAATTAACAAAGGAATACCTTGTTTCAGTTTTTTTCTTTTAATCGGTGTTACCGCTTCAACATAACAGTCATTTTGCTCGTTAGAATCCGTCATTTTCATCTTCTACGTCTTTACAAACAATAAAAATAAAAACAATTCGAACTCTGTATTTCAATAAAAATGAAATGTAAATAACTCAAAATATTATACTTTTTACCTCTATCTTACCTAAACAGTTGTAACTGTAAATCGTTTCTTACAACATTACTGTAATTGACAAGATCTATATACAAAAAATCTGTCAATAGCACATTACTTTAACCTAAGTAATAATTTATTAGCCGAATGTAAATGACGAGAATATTAATGAATTATATATTCGAATACACGTAAATTTCGAGATCAAAATATTAAGTAAAGACGTAAAAATTTTATAATTTAAGGAACTACTTTCACAAATACAATACATCGGATCCACATAACTACTGGATAAGAATTGGACCAAAAATCCGCGGGAAAATGAAACAATGGAAGGGGAACGTGATGTCTGATAGGTGTTTCCGTAAACCTACGCTTCACTAGATTCGCAATTCCCGAGTTACAATTGCAGCAACGAAACGCCATCTCCTGTTAAAAAGGGGTGAATAAAGAACTAACTGAACAGAAGAATAGAGAGGCGACCTAAGCCTGAAGTGACTTGGGGGGCCTCGTCCGAGAAAACTGAGAAATTCAGGACAAAATTGGTGATTTTTGTCTTTTCTACATTGTTCAATACAGGAAAGACAAGGATAGCAGCCATATTGACATACACAACTGCAATTTTGTTCAAAGATTTTGAGATAAAAAAACAGACTTTTTTTAAAAATATTCTTGAAATATTTATATAATTTATAAAAATACATCTTTTATATATTTATTTCAATTTTTTAACCCACCGTGACCAGGTATATAATCCTTTTGTTGTTTTAATTTATAAAGCTAAATGTAATAGGTGATATTATTTCGGGTCAATAACTGCTGGATCGAAGACAGAATTAACGAAAATTAACATTAGTAGATACGTCTATTCTTTCTTTTATAATATTAGTAAACTATTATTAAACGGCTATAACATTTTTACATAATGGCGGTCTTTTAAAAATAATAAGATATAATGACTTCTCTAAGTTATTTAGAATTTATTATGATTATTAGCAAGGATTATTAAAGATATAACAACTCGATTTAAAATGTATATTTTACATAAGTTCCAGTCTATATTATTTCTAAATGTACGTTTGTATATTCGCATATCATCCATTCACGTGTGTTGCTAAAATAATTGAATAACACCTTACAGATACCTTACAGATACTTCGTACTTAAAAATTCATCAGTATGAATCAAACAATTTTATTTTGTAATATAGTCGCTTGTACAGAATACCTTGTTTAATAAAGTATACTGAATACACATAAAACTTTATAATAATGCGCATGGGTGTTTATGTAATCGTACAACAATTAAAAGTATTAAAATTATAACTGTTTTTTTTTTCTCTCAATAAAGATAATTTACAACATTTACCTTTTTTGTTTCAATATATCTTATTACCTAACCGACGATTACATATCCAGTTTAACACATTTACATGTGATATTTCGTTAAATCGATCTTTTTCGCGCGTTTCTCTATAAACAACCTACACCATAATATTCTCAATCATCACGCTACAAATCTCTAAATTTGTATTGTAAGACATATAGTGCATAGTACTTTTTTTTTTAATATACGAACGATACAAAATAGAAAGGGAAACGAAATAAATGAAAACAATACGCGTCGGCATAAAGAAGAAACAAAAAAAGGAAAATTCGCTTCTTTTTGCCATACGTACGAAACTTACATGGAAAACACTAATGCATCACCGAACACTTTTTCTTCGATTAGATGGAATAATCGAATTATAATTTTTGACAGTTGAGAAACCTTCGATTTTTGCATTTCGACGTCATTTATTTCTATACACCAAACGTTATTTAATTAATAATTACCCCATACCCATTTCTGTTGTAAACATATCAACGTTTCATGCAATACACTTACTAGTATGATTACGTACACGTAAGCAAAAAAGAAAAAGTGACCTTCCATAAAATTTACAATCGATCGATCAAGCCAAAAGCACTTTTATTAACGGCAATCTATTTTCCATGCAGGTTCCACTGTTTCTAAGAAACACCATAAATGTACAATAACAAAGAAGAAGGATATGACCTTCGCATTATGATCTAATGTAATTCTCTTCGAATATGCGATAAACAAATTTACACCGACGAAATACATTAACAGAGCTATCTAGTACTTAGAGCACATCGAGAAATACAGAATACAGAATTAAACTAGAAATTTCAAGAGTGGGATACGTGAACAAGTTAAACATTTAGATATTCAGTACTTGTATTATCGAATAAGATAAAGTACCAATCCAAAATAAAAATGCATATTAAACGAATTAGTAGCGTGTATTCTGTCAAGATTTGGGGTAGAAGTTTATAATTTTTCTGACAGTCAGTTACCTCAAATATCTCTCACCACGCCTGTTGTAAGAGGTAAATAAGGAAAAAATTAGAAATAGTAATGGAATAACGGTATTGCATATTGGTGGTTAGCTCATAGACACTTGTCCATTAGACAGTAGCCGTTCAATAGCAGCATTTATATCTCCGAATGTGGCAATTAAGGCTGAAAATAACATTAATGTACGTATATTATTTACATTATACACTACATAGTCATTAGCACAAATTAACGTTAATTGTGTTCATTGTGTTAACATTAATTCAATAATAACTAACTTTGAGAATATAGAACCAATTAAAAAGTTATAAATTTATATTGCAGGAATTTCAAATTATCGAATTTTTAAATTGAAAAACAGACTACTTATTAAAACAACATATGTTGTGGGTCCTCCGATTAGTATTTTAAAAGCTAATTAAGTATTTGAAGTAATAATTGCCAAAATAATCTAAAAAATATATATACCATTACCTTGTAAGTTAGCATCTCTATTAACAAAACCCATAGCAGTAAGCTGTTCTAACTGTACTCTGTAACGTTCTTCAGGTGGGAGGGTAGCAGACTGACCATCTACACCTTGATTTAATGCCATTGCCGATACCTAACAAAAGTGAATTTAATGATTGGTTCTTTATTCATTATTTATAAGTTAGACGAAATTTATTTACCATACGAGCCATGAATTGAGAAAATGCATCTTGCTGATTTGTATCAGTTGACTGTGTAGTTGGTGTATTTGAACTTGTTACACTCGCATTTGATGGCGGTGATGGTGATGTTGTCGTCGCTGTTGACGGAGGCATAGACAATCCCATACTAAAAATTGTACATTAATAAACTTTGGAACTACTTGCATATTGTACAAAAATTGTATAAAATAATATAAAACTATAGTATAAAAATTAATGTACAATATATGTTATAGGTAACAACTTACCTTCCAACAAGTTCTGGAGCAATTGTACGTAATTGTTCTATACCCTGTTGAACCTGCATAAGTGCGGCTAAAGCATCAGGGTTAGTGACAACATTCTGCATTTGAGGATTTTGCATTTGTTGAATGATTACAGGCATCATTGTTTGTAATTGTTCCTGCATTTGTGGATTTGCCCGAAAGAATGGAGTAGTAGAAATCATTCTGCTGGCTATAGATGGGTCTGCTGCCATAGCTTCCAACATTGATCTTGTGTATGGAGCATTTAACATGTTTCTCATCAATTGGGGGTTCTCCATCATTTGAGCTGTAAGACTTTGCATTCCTGGTGAATCCAGTAGACCTCTTCCTTGATGCTGATTAGAAGAATCGCTCTGATTTTGAGCCCAAGGATTTGGCAATGGATCCCTGTTTTCTTGACCCTGTTGCGGATTAGCTTGACCATCTTGATTATTGCTATTTTCTACTAATGCTGCAAAAGGATTATGTTCATTGGCTGCTGCTGCGAACATAGGTTCTTGAATATCGCGGTACATCCGACGAAGTGCACTATGACCACCAGGAATACTTTCTAAATTAGATAAAGCTCTGTCATGGGAACGCATAAGTTCTTGAAGCATTGCTGGATTACGTGCCAATTCCATTGTTTGTCTAAAAAATTATGTTGTATGCAACATATGTCCATGTATGATTTATATTGTATGTTATAAATTCTTACCTTAATAATTCAGGATTATTCAACATGTGACTAATTTCTGGATTACGTTGCATCAATTCTTGCATCTGAGGATTAGCGGTAACCAAATTACGCATATTTTCTGGATCATTCATCAAACTTTGTACTAACGGATTGTCAAGTACTTGACGCATCGTTTCTGGGTTTGATAATAATTCACGTTGCATACGTTGGTGCATATCTATGAAATTAGCAGATCCTAAACCAAGAGATTCCAAGCCTGGAAGTCCTCCCAAACTCCCTAATCCAAAAGGACTTGCACTTATATCAGCTGATTAAAATTAAAAAGTAATTTAATACTCTTGTTATGACTCAGAAGTATAAAGTTAAAATTTAAGGCTTCAAATGATATGATATCTTTATACCTTGTAATCTTTGAGACAGAGATGAATCTTGATTCTGATTAGTAGGAGCACGCGGTGCTTTAATAACCAGATGTACTGTCAATCCATCCTTGACATTATGCGTACTCAAATTTTCATGATCTTTCATAATCTTTCCAGCAAAGATGAGACACAACTGTTCAGTTTGAGCATTGAACTTCTTGGAAACTGCATCTTTAAACTACAAGTTTAAAAAGAACAATCATTAAAGTTAACCCAACTATATAACAAGTATGTTGTTCAGTTATGAATCTTATCTTTTATGAAAATTACAAATATACTATAAAAAAAACTTACATCTTTAATACTTGCATCCTCTTCAATTTCAACGCTTTGTTTTTCTTTTGACGTTTGAACATTAATAGTAATTTTCTTTCGAGTATCCTCGCCTTCTGCCATCTTGAATCGGTAGATGACTCGTTACTTTCGACGCTTTCGATTCTCCCTCGTTGAGGGCCAATTGCGCACCACTCGCCTCGAATATTCTGAACTCTTTCAGCACTGCTTAAAATTTCGTTTACGGATTTGTTTCCGAAGAAACTACGCTGAATTTTTACAAGTTATTCCGAAAGACTATAAGATTACATAGAAGGGTCAACTGAAGCAATTATTCTATACTGAGTCATAATGAATAAAATGATGAAAAATATACCGACACGCCAAACACTTGTATATAGTTTGTTCGAGAGTCAATAGTTTACTAGATAATCTTTGATACTACACGTAAATGATGAAATAGCAATTTTACTTTAGAAATAATTGGGATTATTTATGAAAAATTGTAAATTGTTACGTTAAGAGGTTATGTCGCGTTGCCACTACTGTAACTTTAAAGCACTAACACACATTTAATGTTACGCATAAAATTGTATCAGATATACATATACATATACATATGTACTTCTACTCCTATAAAATTATTGTTAAATTGGTTGTGCAACTAAGAGGGAAATATAAATCGAGTAAATTTACTTTTATGTCACTCTCTAATAATTTGGAATATATTTGTAATATATTACCTCTCTAAGAGGTGATATATTCTTCTTCCTTGTCTAGTATCGCCTCTTATTATATCTACATTTGCCCTTAGGCTAATTAGAGTTATCTTAAGGGTGGTTAAAAATTGATAATATTTTAGTAAAGTCAAAACAATTCGAAATTAATTGGTCTTGCACTTCGATGTAATTCGATTCATACTATAATTATAATAATATCAACTATATTTAATTGAACATAATGGAAAACGATACACGTGGCGCCGTCCAGTGGCAGTATGAAAAACTAATAAAACTACAGTTTCAAAAACGTATAGTTCACCCTGTTCGCCGGAGAGATGGCACTAGTCCCATTTTCGCTGATGACGTCATTTTTTAAAAAACCGCGCGTAAAAGATTCGATAAATATGAAACTAATATGTGTTCAAAACAGTTCGCACACTTTACTGAATCACTTCGGTAAGAAGTAATGTCAAAGAATTACATAAAAATAAATTTAAACACAATAATTCGTAGATAATTTACAAGATATCCGCGCGAGAAAGTTATAAAAATAATGAATTGCAATAATTAATTTATATAATAATGAGTTGCAATAAAATATATCGTAATATATTAATTAACAATCATTTTGCAACATATCTGCAAGAATGAGTTAAAAAAAAATAATAAATTTAAATAATTGTAACAATAAATTTGTTAATAAACAATCGAAAAATATTAAATTATAAAAAAATTAACATTAGAATAATTATACAACGTCTAATAAGAGTCGTTGCACGCTATTGGTGGATTACGTGATGTCTAATTGGCTGTTGTTAACTACCAATAACACTTACGCTTGAGGAGGTCAAGTGTGCTCAGTCGTATTTTGGAAGTCGAGGAGGTCGAGTGTCACCTGTCAACACTTACCGGTACGAGTCAAGGGTTTACTTAACCGATACTGTGCTTGTCCCTGGGTTACCTAGTGTGCTACCACTAGTATTTAGTGTGCTTTAACAAATATTTTTTAATAAATATGGGGGTGTATTAACAAATTTTATGGTGTGATTCTACAAGTGTCAAAGTACTTACCGGAGTGTTTTAATTTATAATTGTGCATGTGTATACGGATACATTAATGTGTTTTATAGTGTTGTTATAAAAGTGTTTTACCATTATTTTTTAAATATTTTACTGGGTTTTATGGTGTTATTATCCGTATTTTTACAAATTTTTATGAACATTTAATGAGTTTTATGGTGTGGTTACCTACGTGTTTTGACATACCTGTCAAGTGTGTGAGTGTAATTTACGGCGTAGTTGTACAAGTGTTCTACCGTTATTTTTCAAATATTTTATCGGGTTTTATGGTGTTATTATCTGTGTTTTTATAAATTTTTGTGAACATTTAATGAGTTTTATGGTGTGGTTACCTACATGTTTTGACATGCTTGTGCAAGTGTTTAATGTAATTTACTGTGTAGTTGTATAAGTGCTTAACCGCCATTTTTGAATTATTTTACCGGGTTTTATGGCGTGGTTACCAACGTGTTTTAACATGCTTGTGCAAGTGTTTTAATGTAATTTACTGCGTAGTTGTACAAGTGCTTTACCGTTATTTTTCAAATATTTTACCGGGTTTTATGGTGTTATTATCTATGCGTTTTTACAAATTTTCGTGAACATTTTAATTTATAATTTTGCATGTGCATACGAATATATTAGTGTGTTTTATAATGTTGTATAAGTGTTTTACCGTTATTTTTCAAATATTTTACTGGGTTTTGTGGTGTTATTACCTACATGTTTTTCAAATTTTTATGAACGTTCAGTATGTTTTACGGTGTGGTTAACTATGTGTTCCGGTATATTTTTGCAAACGTTTTGACATGTTCTATGAAGTAATTATCCAAGTGTTTTGACATACATTTACAAATGTTTTACAATATTTCACGATGTTGCTATTGACAAACGTTTGCAAATTTATAACCGAATTCTGTACTGTAGTTATTGTATTTTTGCATGTTAATCAAAATGCAAATTAATAAACACAGTTAATTAATCGTTGTGATTTATTTATGATTACAGAAGGCCACGCCAACTTTACGGACAAATCACCAAATCCAAATCTGACGAAAGAAGCCAATCAACCAAGTAGCCAAGCAGTCAATCAATCAAGCAGCCAAGCAGTCAATCAACCAAACTGCCAGTCAATCAGATGAGCCGCCTCTCAGATGCTTTACCAGTAAAACGATCGCAGTGATGCAAGTCAACGATCGGTGAGTCGCATGCTTTACGGTTCCTCCGGTTCCCATCATGTCGTAGGACGAATGGTCCGAAGCGACACGGGAACTGGTTGTATTTTTATTATTTGAGCGAGCATAGTGACCACGACTGTACGATCGTGTAAAATTCGTACAAACTGTTTATTATATTTATTAGCTCAGGTCAGGGTTTTCTTGTACATCGCGTTTTAACTTAACTTCTTTACGAATCAAATTAAAATTAGTACATTGAAGTCGGATGACCCTCCGATTTCGTGCTAGTTCAATTATAGAGTCACTTTCAATTTTTACGTATCGCGTACTCTTTTTAAATACACATATGTACAAGAAAGTTTCGCGGAAAACAGATTTTGATATCAAAGTTAATTATGAATGTTTTTGATCATTTAGTAAATTTACTTTGATATCACAAATCTGTTAAGAATGAAACAATCGATACTTAGATTTTTGCAAAGTGATCTCCATTTTCCATTTTGAAACGATTTGTGTAGAGTCATTTCAAAGTTATATTTGTGCATACAAAATTTAGAGTCAATTTTTTTGGGAGACACTTTATTAGCATGTTTCTAATCATGTTTTTTAGCTCAGGATTTTCAGCACACATGAAGAAAACTGGTAGGTCCAGATATTGTTGGCCGTGTTCATTTTTATGCTCTAAACTCATGCGCGTGCTTAGATGCTACTCGCATGGGTTAGGGCAGGTGGACACGGTTTAGTTTTAAGATGTTTTGGCGATCGATAAATTGGCAGTGAATTATTATCGACACAAGTTACACGTGTGTGTGTGGTTAGGTCGTGGACCTTGTGTCGATTTTAAACTATAGATTTATTATAAAAATTTGTCAAAATTTTATTTATGCATACAAATGCAAGTAGAGTCATTTTCAAGTTATATTTGTGCATACAAAATGCAAGTAAAGTCATTTCAAAGTTATATTTGTGCATACAAAATGCAAGTAGAGTCATTTCAAAGTTATATAAATTAAGTTATAAAATTGTATTAGTAGTTAAAATTATTACATGTACATATTACATTGAATATTCGAAAGAGTACGAAAATGAAATATGTATGTTCACTGTCGATTGTCGATCGATTTCAGCAAAAAGGTATGAACTTAGAGTGTGAATGT